CCGTTGCTATATCCACCGTTGATTTTTGCGAATATCTAAATGAGGTTTACATTCATCTACTTGTCAAAGACGCACAAACACACAAACAAACGAAAAATTGCCCACACAAACACATTGTCAAGAATGATACACACACTCACAAATACACACACACACACACACTTACAATCACCCACATACAAAGATTTGAAAGAATTCGAACTGAATTAACCTGCTGTGTATGCTGGCGCTATCAATTTGTGCTTTCGAGAGCCATACCCATTCCTGTGAATTCTCATCCTTGCCGCAAGAGCTGGAAGAGCTGAGACGCGTGAGGATCGGCAGCACGAGCTTCTCATAGCCTTCGTTGAACGGCCGTCTGGCGCGTGCGCCAACTGCGTACACAATGCCAATCAGTGCCCCGAATACGATGATCAGGCCGAGCAACAGTTCGGAATGCCAGTTGCTTGAGGTTGACGAAGCCACGGAAATAATGCTTCCGTTATCTGCAAAAGACTGAGCCCCTCTGACGATTGAAAAGAAGCAAATATTTAAAACGAATTCAAAAAGAGAACTTGGACACTAGCATTCTTAGTCCTGTGCTCATTTCTGCCTTCCTTTTCCATCTTTTTTTCTGCTCCACCATCTGCCGGCACTTCTGAATGCATCTGGATACTAGCAGTGTTTAACTAAGCCAGTGACCAGAAATCCACAACAAACGAAAAAATTCGAAAATAACCCAGAACTTGAATCTACCTGTGGAACAATCGTTCCTCCTACGATTTTTTCACTTGTTTCGCTGGTAAATTGGTGCTAATAGAATTTTTCCATCACTTTACTTCTAAAGTAGCCTGTGTACGAAGGAGTCGTTGACAGCTTTGCCAGCGAGTGGTTGCTGTTGGTATTTTACTAACACTGGCTATTCCGAGTGCTTTCATCTTTTATGGAAACCGAATGACGGCGAAGATCCTTTCCGGCCCACATCTTTGAAACAGGTCCCGTTCATGCAACCTGCACATCAATACTGTAGTGGCAGTGAGTATTAAACTAACAGTTGATATCTGGAGCTGGCGAGCCGGCAATTTTCGGTTTCTCGTCGAATTGCACCTGCACCGGATATTCCACCTGCGCAATTGCTTTAGAGTCCGGTTCACTGCATGCCGCTGGACTGTGCAAGCTGACTGAGAGCAGAATATCGTTGGAATTGCGTAAGGCGATCAGCTCGATGTCCTGACCTGATCGGTGACTCACCGCCACTGCCTGCTCATCCGAACTCCACGCTTTCAGCACATACTGCTCCGGTGGGAGATCCGTTAAATCAAGCACTTGCTCATCCGAGAAATATACCCGGCAAGCGAGCTTTGCGTGCTGAAATTTCTCGACTACTTTTTTGCACTCCTGGATAGTTCAAAGCAGGTGTGATGGACGTTGATGACCGAAAATATTTGACTTAAATCCATTCCCGTCCAGCTTTTAAGTATGGCGATTTGACCTTGAGTACTAACTGGAGGTGTTCAGCTCAGGATCAAAGGCCTGGTACTGCTGCGCCAGTGTTCAAAAGCATCCTAGTAAAATCATCAAAATGGAGTACCCACACCAATTTCCGGGCGACTTTATTATTCGTGAATTTGTCTCTTCAGCCAAATTAATACAGAATAATACTGATTAAAATGGATATTCTAACCACTGTTTGCTGTAGTTGCTGATATATACACACTTTCTCAAAAGCCTTTGTTTTTACCAATTCCAGAAAGTTTTTAACTAGCGAGTACTAATTTTTAAGATAAATCATTACAGCAGTCGTTTGAAAACCGGCGCACAAATTCATCTACTGATTTCTGTCAGTGCCTCCCGGTCGATAAGGTGCCTCATCGTGGTTTAGGAGTGGCACTGTTCAAAATGAGACGGCAATACTTCGAGAACACGAAGAAATTTCGAGACGGCTAAAGCCTTACCAAATGTTTTTGTCAAGAAAGTCATTAAGCTTTTCAGGAGAACAAATAATTTTAAGGACTATCAGCAGGCGAAGCAGCATTGGTAAGCATTTGGAAAAGTTGCTAGCAGCACAGCTGAAGAACCAGACTAAAAAAAACAGCATAATTATCACAGCATTTGTGAGACGATCAGTGCACATTTTATATATAAATTACTGATCTGTTACTGCACAAAACTAACATCTTTGAGACTCATTTCTTCGTTAATTTTTCCCTCATCTTCTTCGCTCTTCCCGCCCAGTCCTCTACTTTAACGGATGCTGTATTTGTCTGTTATTTTGAGAACTACAACAGTCTTCAGTCTGGTTTAATACTCAAAGCTCTGAACGGCAT